GTCCCTATTCATTAGGGATATTGCTCTGTAGTCTCTTTTTTTGCTGTGTCATTGTCTTGTTTTTCAATAAGGATATTGACGGCACCATGAAATGAGTTTGGGAGACTCTCTCTCTTGAATCTTTTTAAATAATTTGAGAAAAACTGGTGTTATATATTTAAAAGATTTGTAAAATTCTTAAGTGAAACCTTCCAGCCCTAAGCTTCTCTTCTTTGTGAGACTTTGCGTTACTGATTTAATTTGTTGTTTATTATTGGACTGCTGAGACTTTCTATTTCTCCCTGGATCAATCCTCGTATATATATTTTTTTCTCTTTTTTTTGGAGAGGTTTTTGCTATAGGACCCGTGCACTCGCCAGACAGAGAGAGACAGAGAGACAGAAAGCAAGAAATCACCCCCCACGGGGGATGGCCATGCTGCAATCCCTTCTCCGTTCTCCTCTCAGGATCTTGGGCACGCACGCACATGCGCCTGGCGTGAGTTTTAAGCCACAGGATCCGGGACGCGAACCGCGGTCCACTACGTGGGAGTCCAGCGACATAGCCGTTACGCTAACTGCTGGTCCCACCCTAGTTAGTTTTCCACACTAAATATTTTGCATATGCCTTTTAAAAAGAAAAATTTAATGAATGAGAGATCCTAATAATGTTGAAGACAATGAGCCATTGTGTGTGGATTTGTGCTATTCTTTGTTTTGCAACTAGTAATTATATTGCAGCATCATTGAACAAAGACCGAATATGTTTACTGAACACAGATGTACCCATCTCAAGCAATCTCTGAGTACATGAACTTGGTGCATTTTAAAAGCAATTTTCTCTGTATCTATTCAAATCCTGTGTTTAGAGTTCATTTCAGGTATAAAAAATTACTATAAATTAAAAATTCTGAATTTCCTAGGTATCTTCAGGAAGATTGAAATTAGGTGAAACAAAGGTGAAAAAAGTCAAAAAAAGAATTGTTCTAATACATTAGCTGTGTCTGATTAGCAGATTTTGATGCTTGGTACTTAGATTAAGCAAAGAATTTCTTTCCTGATTCCTTTTCCTTCAAGAAAGAAAAAGCCAAAACTCCACTTCGTTTATATAGTATTTATACTCAACTTTTTAGTAAGTCTTCCTTGGATTTTCCTTTATTCTTAACTAGGAAGAGAGAATCAATGCACAGCATAAACCTAGATTCATGTAGAAATCTTGAAAGTAAAACAATTTCCCCACTAAATATTCACTCTAACTCAATTTGCTTAGAGGGGAAGTAAACCAAATGACTTTAGGCAAATTAAATAACTTTTATTGTGCGTATTTTCTTCATCTTTAAAATAGAGCTAATATATAGTTTATAGAATTGCTACAAAAATGTAAGGGGAGGGGGGGTTGTCCAGCAGGTGGTATGGTAGTTAAGATTCTCATATGACACCCGCGATTTCAGACCTAGTGGTTTGAAAAATCACTCAAGGTGCCTTTGTGCCCAAAACCCAGAGAATGGAGATGCGATTGCAGCCATGGCCATCCCCCGGGGAGTAATTTCTCACTTTCCCTCTCTCTAGTGAGCCCACATGCCCTGTGGCAAAAACCTTTTTAACAACAACAACAAAAAAAAAAAATCCAAGGAGGTAGTCCAAAAGTAGGCATGTAGTTGATGGCTGGCGCTAGTTCCCCTAGTAGGTGGCGTGGTGGTTAAGGTGCTGGACTTCCACATGGCTGACTGGTTCAAGTCCAGGACCTGGAGGCTTGCTCTCTCTTCTCTCTGATGAGTTCACATGCCCTGTGCCTGTAGCAAATTAAAAAATAATGATAAAATTTAAAAGATCTTAGGTAACTTCTATTGCAATATTAAACTACGGTATTTAGAAAGCTAGAGTCACTTTGGGGAGTTTTTCTTTTCTTTTTTGGAGATGTTTTTGCTATAGGGCACGTGCACTTGCCAGAAGACAGAGACAGAAAGCGAGAAATCACCCACCAGGGGGGATGGCCACGCCACAAGTCATTCTCCATTCTCCACTGGGGCACGCATGCACACGCGCCAGGTGTGAGTTTAAGCCGAGTCCAGGACTCGAACCACAGTAGACTACATGGGAGTTCAGCGATATAGCCATTACACCAATTACTGGTCCCTCCCTTTGGGAAGTTTTAAAATGACTTCCCTGATCATAATTTTTAATGTTAAGGTATGTTTAAATACAAATCTCTTAATTTTTCTTTTTTTTGGGGGGGGGGCCTACTGGGTTAAAACCAAATTGTTTTGTTTTAGTTTATTTCCGAGTGAGACACAGCATCTCTGAATGTCTTGACACTGACTCAACCCCAGTCTCACCTGGCCCAGATCACAAGTACATGTGTGCCCAGCATGTGGATCTGCCCTGCAGAGTGCATTTCACTGCTGTACTGCCATCCAGCCCCAGGATGTTTGTTTTGATGTGTGTATTAAAGTAGTATGCAATATATATTGGCTACAACTTAACAAGAAACCCAAACAGGATTTTATTGCTGAAAGGGACCTTAAAAACCATTAATCAATTCGGATTACTCAAATGACTATATGATTTCCATAGTTGTGGATGATGGAAAATGGTATTACACTTTTGACCAAATTAATTCTCCATTCTTTCTCATGTGCAGCACATCTCAAATACTTCCAAATAAATGACATAGCTTTTCTTTGACTATAGTTTGGGGCCTGACCTAATGTGGAGTTTTTTTTTCCTCCATGATGAAACTTCCTACTGCACTCACTGGTTGCTACATAGACAAGTATTCAAAGTAAAAGTAATGATGGGACCAGCAGGTAGCGTAGTGGTTGGGGCACTGGACTCCCATGTGGTTGACGGTAGTCTGAGTTCCAGACCTGGTGGCTTGCTTTCTCACTCTGTCTCTGGTGAGTGCCCGTGCCCTATAGCAAGTTTTTTTGTTTTTTTTTTAAATGGAAAACAAAACTAAATAATTCTTTAAGAAAACAAAAAGTAAAACTAGTGATGAACAGATACACTAGTGTTAATGCAAAAACAGAATACTATGCAAGTGAGACAGGTTATGTGTACTGGCATGGAATTTTCCCAGTGTAATTACATGGGGGAAAAAAGGCTGAAACAGTGGTGCCATGTGTGTAAAACAAGATATTCTGTATGTAGACAAGTTTGCCTATGTGTAGATGATCTCTGCAATACACAAAAAACCAGCAATGGTGCAGTAGATGTTGGACAACTAGGCGGGTAATCTGTTTTGTAGTTATTCGAATTATTTCTGTTCAAAACATTTTTAAAATACTATGTAGGAGTGTAATTATTAAGCGTTTCATGAATATTAACAGCTTTTGTCTTGGTACAGAGTATGTGTACATGAGTACAGTGGTATTCTATTTATTCAGTGCATAATTAACTTCAAACTTGTCACTCCATGAACTATCAAAGGAAACAAGCCAACATGGCTTAATTTGTATCCTTCATCCTTCTGAACAGCAGCTATGAAAACATAACTACAAGGAGTTGGCAAAAATACTTCAGTAAAGTGGAAGACAGGCCTGGACGGGATGGGCACTAAGCTGCTGTGACTCCTTCCCCAGTGCTAATAAACAGATGTAATCAGGAGGAACTAAGTGGCAATCACCCACACATCTCAGGTGTCACCTTAGTCCTGTTTCAAGTGTATGAGCAAGTCATGAGTTTTGGGGTGTCTTATACCTAAGTTGTATTTTATTTATCTTAAGTTTCATTAAATGAGACTACAATGACCATCCCAAGTGAGTCCCTATCTCTACCACTAACTAGTGTAAGAGTACCTGGGCTTCTCTACTTTGGAAAGCACAACATAAGTTTATTAATGAGGTCTACATCTTAACCTCTAATGCATTTTTCTCTTAAAAGCCCTTACATGAAATAGAATGGGTTTTTTTTTTTTTTTTTTTTTTTTTTTTTTTACGAATAATACTTTGTTTCATCTTACCGCCCCTTACACATCCATACTTGCTTGCCCTTGGTGGGTACTTACATGGATGAAATGAACAATAGAGCACACCATATTCTCACCAACTCTTTTAAAAGGAACTAAGAGAATACAGATACCTGAGGCAATTATCACAGAAAAGAACTGTTAGAGATTTTGTTCTCTAGAAAATCCAATCAAAGAAATAGGTATGATGCAAATTTTTACGGAGCTGTTTTTTTTTATGTATTTTTAAAAGAAAGGTTCAAAGTTGTTCATTTGAAAAAAGAGGTTAACAAAAATACATACAACTCAAAACAGCAAGGTAGAAAAAGCTTCCTTTCAAATGGTGATCTGAAGTTTTAACAAAGTTAATAATATGAAGCACATTCAAATTTCTGTGGATTATTAATTTTAATACAATTATACATTCACGCTGTGGTGGTAACAACTTTCACATTATTTGTAGGACTACTTTTTTCAACAGACTCTTATGACAAAGGCACAATCCAAAAGAATACGCTAACAATTTTACAATGACAGTTTTAAACAAATGTGGAGAAAGGACCACTTCAAAATATTAAACAGAAAATATATGAATATGAATCAACTTGAATGAATATATTTTCAGCACAGAAATATTCCTACTTTTCAACATTGTTTCATTTTGATGTGATAGCAGTTATAGGTGCCCTGTGAATTATTCTTAACATTCATTCAACATAAAACCAAGCATTCACATGACTGGATACCTGACAAACCCAGATTAATGAACTCTTCTACTACAAGTCCTATTTTTCCATTTCTGTTAATCGTATGAAAAGAAATGCCTTTTCTTCCTCCCTCCCTCTCTAGGGCACTGAGCTTTCAGTAACTCAGCTTTTATGTTAGATAGATGTGACTCCAACCAAAGATTATGAAACAAATTTTTAAGAGCCTTCCAATCATAGTGCTTACAGGAAATATGCAAAATGTTAGAATCAGGCTGACTGGTTTCCTTGATGGGAATTTTTGGTCTCAAAAGAAACAGCAGGTATTTAAAGAAATTGAGTAATATAAAATTACTCTGGCTTTAAAAAAACATTTAGAGATACTGTTTAGTTTACAGAATTGTTAGAACACCAAAAAAAGGATGTTATTTTTAAGCACTTGATAAGTAAGAATCCTTTCTCATGAGTATCTGAATATTTAGAACGTATTTATAGTCATTAAAATATAATTCCAAGAACCAAGAAATTAGTTAACATTTTTATTCTATAATATTTAATAAATTTAGGTCCTCTGGGTCATTAAGATATTAAGCTTCAGGGTTTTATTGCAGTCCTAAAGCAGATGTTACACTTCTTTGCTCAGTTATTTCATGACTTGTAAAAGTTAATTATTAATGAACAAAAAAATGACTGCTCATTTTTATTGTAATCACACAGCTATGTTTCAATGTTGGTTGACATTCATTAAATCTTAGTTTCTCAAAATGTATTTATCTAGGTCAAGAAAAACGGGCAGAAGGAAACTTTACCCAAATTATGTAGCAGTGTTAAGCAAATTCAGTTTTTGAGCCAAAATTAAATCATTTGTGCCTTCAAACTTTCCCTTGTAACTTTTCTTATAGCAATATAATTTTGCATTTTGGCCAAAGAGAGCTATTTTCTTTTGGCAGACAAAATCATGCTTCTGGAGAAACACTGATTTAGCTCTGTGGAATCTGTCTCCTTTTCAATAGAGCACTAACAAATAGAGCACGAGATATTTATTTTACCTAAGTTGATCTTTTTCAAAAAGCTAATAAAACGAAATTTGAAATCTAGTCTGTAATATATTTTTAACCAAAATACATAATTATGCTTAATTTATACTAATTTCCCAAAACAACTGATTTTTGGCCAAGATTCAAGAAACCCTAAAATGTCTTCTCCAAAGTAACCAATTAAAAACTGTCAATTAAAAAGCAAGCCACAGTGCTTACATGTAATATTTTTTAGAAAAACAACTTTACACTATTTCATGTTCTTGTACATTTGGAAACAAGCACATTTTGACTCTGGAAAAAACATTTGGTGATCCATTAAAGTTTAACTCCATAAGTTTACAAAACACAAGAGTAAGGGTGCAGTTATTCCAAAATGATTAAAAACATCAGTCAGTGTGCCTTTACTTTGAAGAAAAATGAAGTGTGTCGTCTTAAGTTTTGAGTGCCAAAATAGCAATTTACTGTTAAAATGTCACCAAAATTAGTTTAAAATATTACTGAGAAAATCAACTATTTCCAACAATAAAAATTTTAGTTACTTTTTGTTAGGACTATAACTTTCATTTTTAAGACTTAAATCTCATAGGATCACCACAAACCACCTTTTTCTATTTCAAATTAACTAATTCTAACTCAAATTAAAAACTCACATTCACAAGCAAGAAATACTATATTGCACATATATTTTGGGAATGTGTACATCCTCCTCCACCCCCAAACTGACAATGCATCTATGAATTACATCTTATTATCTGAACTTACATCATTCAAAGTGCTTATGTTTTTCCACACAACAAGTACATTACTATTATTGTGGTCTCAAAATACTTCATGAACCCTGAAGTGATTCTCTATGGAAGGAGCTTCCTTTGCAAAATGAATTTGACTAGTTACCTGCATACCAAAATCCCCAAGTATCTGGACAAATTTCTTGTGCTCCTTTCCAATCCAAGATCTCATAGGATCACATACTTGGTAAGGTGTGACATGGGTGTGAACGATAATCTTTGTTTGCGCAAATTCTTTCAAGACTTCTGGATAAGTTATCCAAGTATTGCTTCCTCCAGAATGACCACCATCCAGCCAGTACATCGTTCTTATGCTTCTGATAAAAGCATCTATGTTCTTGTCTTTCTTGGCTTCTTTCAATTCAAAAAGCAGCTGATTCAAAACGACACAACCTTTACTGAATCCAATCAAAGTAAAAGATGCACCATTAATTGATGGTGGATAAAAACTCATGGCAGACTCATCAGAATTTTCACAGGTCCTCTCTTTTTCTCCCTGGCAACCATTAGCAGTATAAGAACTGGATCTACAATTGGATGCTGTGGAGTCTTTATTCCAAACATTCATATTCTTTGATAGCAAACTGTTTTGACTTAAGTTAAAAGCATTAACTAATAATGTATAAAGATGCTTAAAAGCTCCAAAGTCAGAATTGTGTTCTGGAGCACCAAACATGTTGCTTTTCACAAAATTGTCGTAGCAGCTAAATTTGTGCAAATGCATTCGGGAACACTTTATCACCCAAATGTAACTATTGGGGAACCGGTGAGCTAAAATGTTGGCGACATTTTCTAAACTCCAGTTTTCCCACTGATAATTCTCAGGATGACGTGTCATAATTTCATGATAATTCTGAAAGGAAACAAACATGAAATAAATATTAAATATATATCTATAAAACTATTTCCACACAATAGTTTCCCATTTTTATTGTGGGAAAAGTTAGGATGTTACAATGACCTATGATTAATGTAACAGAAAAAAAATCTGTCATTGTTTTCTGATTATAAGATTTTTTAAAATGCAGTTTAAGCCTTGAATACATCAAAAGATAAGGTAATACGATATACATAGATAGAACACTAGAAAAACTTAATAAATCAATTTAGAAGGATTACAGATGTTTAATAAATTTTATTTAGAATATAAACTCATTTTCTTAACAGATCAACTGAAAATAAAAATTTGCTTCCTGAGAGAATTTTTGACCAATATTTTCAAGTATTTTTCTTTTTTATAATTTGACAGATGATGAGGGTACTCCCTGGAGGGGGGGGGGAGAGAACCCCCTTATGGGGAACGGTTGCGCTGCAATCCCCCCTCCTCCATTTTTCACTCCTTTTGGGACTTTTGAGTATGCATGTACATGCACCCAGCATATTTTTCAAACTGTTAGGTCTGGGACTCAAACTGCACAGTTAGCCACATAAGTGGGATTAAGCTGCCTTAACCAGCACGCCACAGGCTAGCCCAACACTTCTTTATTAATAAGCTGCCATCCTGCACCCCTCCCTCTTTGGATTCTTCTAACAACCTGAACACTGTGTTTGATTTCAATTTTTCGTATTACAAAGCTGTAATGGACATTATGGCAAAATTTTTTATGCTCTTGTGATTACATCCTTAAAAATAAATTCCTAGATAAGAAAAACTAAGTCAAAGAATATTCATAACTTATGATTGGTGACATAGATTAAAGTGTGCTTTCCAAAAGTATGTGTATTTTTTCCATTTTTCTTTGTTAAATTTCCTAGGCATAGGATAATTCATTCTAATTTGGCTTTACTGAAAATGAGAATGAAGTTGAAATTTTGTTCATATATTTATTAACCATCTGATTTCTACTCATGCCTGTTCTTATCTTTGCCCTTTTAAAAGTGGATCTTATTTACTTATAAGCATCCTATACCTATTAACAGCTTTTGTTGAGACCATCTATACATACAAATTTTGTTTTCCTTTTAATTTTTATATATAGTGGCTTTTTAAAAAAAGCAACGGAGATGTATTCAGTTGTTCTATAAAATTTACTGGATACCTACTGATTAGAAAAGGACCAGATGGACAAAACACCTGCCCTCATGGAGCTCACATTCTAGTATAAATCTACAATAAGGAACTTGACAAGTACACAGAGCAGCACTGTTCAACATAGATGCAGCACGAGCCACACAGGAAACTTTCTAGTAGCCACATCTTAAAAAGTTAAAAGGCCAACCACAGTGTGCTAAACTCTCATAGGAAGGTCCTGGAGTCATATCTGAGGTCTCATGTGGTATGCTCATGATCCAAGCTGGCTGAGGCTAGAGATGGGTTGAGGCGTAAAAACCCTCTAAGAGATGCCTGTCTCTCTTTTTCCCTCTCTGTCTCTTTCTTATGGAAAAAATAAACTTTTTTTAAAAAGTTAAAAGTTAACAGGTGAGGGACCAGCAGTTGGCGTAATGGCTATGTCGCTGGACTCCCATGTAGTCGACTGTGGTTCGCGTCCCAGACCCATTTTCTTAAAAAACCTCAGACCGGGCGCATGTGCGTGCGTGCCCAAGATCCCAAGAGGAGAATGGAGGAGAAGGGATTGCGGTGTGGCCATCCCCCCTGGGGGGGGATTTCTTACTTTCTGTCTCTCTGTCTCTGTCTGTCTTTTTGGCAAGCGCATGCGCCCTATGGCAAAAACCGCTCCCCCACCCAAAAAAAAGTTAACAGGTGAAATTTAGTAATATATTTTATTAAGTCCTATATATCTAAAACGCCATTTCAACACATAACCAGTATTAAAAATTACTGGTAGGGGGCCAGCAGGTGGTATAGTGGTTGGTGCTGGACTTCCACATGGCCAACCATGGTTTGAGTCCCAGACCCAGAGGCTTGCTTTCTCACTTTCTCTTTCTCCCTGGTGAGCATGTGTGTCCTATGGTAAAGTAAATATAATAATAATACTATACCAAATAAGAAAAATTACTGGTAGGTTATTACATTCTTTTTTCCCTACTAAGTCATTCAAATCCAGTGTTTATTTTATATTTAAAGTGCATCTCAATTTGGAGAATAAATTTTCATTGGAAATTTGGTACTTAATCTGAATTTAGATTTCATAAAACTTAAGAGTTAAAAAAGTAGATTCACATACCCAAGTTGTTCCAAATATACTTAAGTTTTCTAGGAACTTAATTACCGGTTTTAAAATTTAAATTTACTGGGACCAGCAGATGGTGTACCAGTTATGTTGCTGGACTCCCACATGGCTGACCACAGTTCGAGTCCCGGACCTGATGGGTTGAAACTCATGCTGAGCATGTGTGCATGCATGCATGCCCAAGATCCCATGAGAATGGATTGTAGCATGGCCATCTCCCCTGAGGGGGTGATTTCTCACTTTCCCTTTCCCTGTGTCTGTCTCTCCCTTTCTATCTCCAGCAAGTGCACACTCCCTAAGGCAAAAAACTCAATTTTTTTAGATTTATTAAAATTAAATACAATTTAAAATTCAGTATCTCAGTTAGACTAAGAGCATTTCAGGTGGTCAAGAGTCACAAAGTGGCCAGTGGCTACTGTACTGGTCAGCACAAAACATAGTAGATGATGGTAAGTGTAATAGAATATAGTAAGTAAAACAGGAAAAAAGCAGTTCTGGAAAATGGTGAAAATTAATAAGTAACACAGAATGGTCAGGAAAGGCTTCTCCAGTAAGGTGACAATTAAAAAGGACCTGAAGGAACTGAGAGAGTGAGCCATGTGGATACTCCAGGCAAAGGACCTGCAACGTATGGCGCAGAGGTGGAAGAAAGTGTGCTGGACATAACCAAGATGTAGCAATGTTCCCTGTGTTCCCTCTACACAGGGAACAGGAACAAAGGGGATCACAAAAGAGAGAGAGAGCGTGTTGAGAAGGAGATTAAGTGCTGATCAGGCTTTCTATAAGACACCCTGAGGACTCTGGTTTTTGCTCTGAAGGATTTGAAGAAGAGGGATAATACAATTCACATTTTGAAAGGTTTACTCTGGCTCCTATGTGTGAAAGGGCAACAGCTAAAGCAGGAAGGAAGCTAAAGACTGAAATATACAGTCATCCCTCAGATGATTACATTTGGGTCTACAATAGGCCACACACAAGAAGATGGTCCTGTAAGATTACAGCTGAAAAATTCCTACTGCCTAGTGAATCTAGCTGTTTTACGGCTGTACCATGATGCACTGTTTGCTTGTTTGTGACGATGCTGGTGTAAGCAAACCTAATGCACTGCCAATTGTATGAAAGTATAGGTCCTTAAGAAGGTATTCCAGAAGGCAGTGTTTTTAGGAAATGACAGTTCCATATGTGTTATTGCCTCTGAAGACCTTCCAGTGGGACAAGATGGGAGGAAGGAAACAATGATAGATTCCTGACCCTGTGCAGGTCTAGGCTAATATTTGTGTTTGTATCTTAGTTTTGAACAAAAACATCTAAAAGGTAAAAATAAATTTAAAAATTGAAAAGCGTACTGAATAAGGATATAAAGAAATTACTTTTGTATAGCTGCATGATGTTTTGTGTTTTAAGCTAAGAGTTATTACAAGAGTCAAAAAGTTAAAAAAAATTTTGAGAACCAGCAGTTAGAGTAATGGCTATGTCGCTGGACTCCCACGTAGTCGACCGCGGTTTGCGTCCCAGAGCCGGTGGCTTAAAACTCACACCGGGCGCGCGTGTGTGCATGCCCAAGATCCCGAGAGGACAATGGAGGAGAAGGGATTGCGGCGTGGCCATCCCCCCGGGGGGTAATTTCTCGCTTTCTGTCTCTATGTCTCTCTCTGTCTGTCTGGCGAGCGCACGCACCCTACAGTGAAAACCTCTCAAAAAAAAAGAAAAAAAAAAGTTAAAAAAATTTAAATATATGGTAAAAAATTACAGTAAGCTGTTAACTTACTGTTGAAGAATTTTTATTAAAAACTTGCATAGCCTAAGTGTACAGTGTTTATAAATTCTACATAGCGTACAATAATGTCCTAGGCCTTCATATTTACACACCTTACTGAGTCATCCAGAGCTACTTCCTGCAAGCTCCATTAAGCTCCATTCATGGTAAGTGCCCTATATATGTGTACCATTTTTTATCTTTCATACCATATTTTTACTGTACCTTTTTTACGTTTAGATATATTTAGATACAGAAATACCATTGCTGCCTAAATGTTCAATACAGTAACATGCTGTACCATTTTGTAGCCAAGAAACAATAGGCTATACCATATAGTCTAGGTATGTAGTAGCTTACTATGAAGGTCTGTGTAAGTATAAAGTCCACAAAACAATAAAATCACCTATTGACGCATTTCTCAGAAGCTATTCGCATTCTCAAGCAACATATGATTATAATTATGAGAGAAGAAGGTGGCCTGAACCAGAGCAGTTAGTAGAAGTGTGGGTTCTAAGTGGTCATTCTGAATATATTTTGGAGGTAGAATCAACTGGATTTGCTGAATGGATAAAGAGTGTGAGAAAAAGGGAAATAAAGAAATAGTGTTGTGAGTTTTCCTTATTCTAACAGTAATATACAAGCTATATAGGTCTTAAATGCACCTTTTGACCTAGTGATTTCACTTCTAGGAATTTATTTCATGGATCCTACTTATATATATACATAAATAAATATGTATAAGGATATTTATACATAGTTCTGCTTCAAAAGAATGAGACAGCTCTATGAATACTCACATGGGTTGTGAAGTAAGGGCTAAAAAACCCCATATGCTATGCTGCCATTTGTGCTTAAAATTTTTTGCATAAGCATAGAATGTCTTTGGAAGGATATATATATAAATGTATATGTAAATATATGTGTGTGTGTGTGTGTATAAAAAACAGTGGTAGCCACAGAGAA